CAGCACCTGTCAATGTCACCATCTATCACATAGCCAAATCCCAGAGCCAATGATCTGTCCATATTACCCCAATCTCCCAGCAGCTCTAGATCTCCCTTCCTTCTTGAAAGACGTTCTTCATTGGTTCTTACACTCTGCTGGCACCTTACCTTACATCATGGGCTTCCCTGTTTCAGTTTCCTTTTCCAGATGCTTCTCCACTTGCTGATGTTTAAGATGCCAGCATACCACAGAGCTCCATCATACGGGCTTTTGTCTTTTTAAGCTGTGCTTTTCTTCCTGGCTGCTATTCAGTTCCAAGGCTTCAAATCACATCCATATGCAGATGACTCTAAATGTACATTTCCAGCCATGACCTCTTCCCTGAGTCCCACACAGGCATGTCTAGCTTTCTTTTCTACATCTCTATGTGGATCTCCAACAATGGCTTGAACTCATACTCAGCACAGAATTCTTAACTTTCTCATTGGACAGCATTTTTCATTGAAATGAATGGCACCTCAATTTTGTCCTTTTACTCAGATCAAAAATCTAGTGGCCATCTTTATTTCCTTTTTTCCCCACTTTCCCACCAATATCCAGTCATCTGCAGGTCTCATCATCATTCATTTTCAAAATCCATCTTGTCACTACCTTCATTGCTAGCCACCAAACCATCATCATCTCTCACCTGGGTGGCTACAGTATGCTCCTAATTGGTTCTTCCTGGTTTTCTCTTCGTCTCTGTAACTCACCAATATATGGTTACCATGTTCTTCCAGCCTCATCTTTACTGGTTCCTCCTTATCCACATTTCACTCATCCCACCAGTCTTTCAGTTGCTTGAAAGTGTCATATCCACCCTGACCACAGGGTCTTTGTATATGCTCTTTCTACTGACAGGAACATTCTTCATTTGCTATTGGCCTGCTACCTCCTGCTTTAGCTTTCAGTTAAAATTCATGCCTTCATCAAAAATGCTTCCTGTTCTGATCCGGGACAAAGTTCCTCTCATGAATACACCTTTGTACAAGTGCTGTTTATCCTTACGGTACCTTTTTGACACAGATGAGTCAGTGAATGAATGAATGACCTCCGTAAGAATCTCTGAGTCACTAAATCACTTATTTGCTAGAGATCTCATTTGAAACCTGAGATGGCTAATGTATGAGATGTTTGAAGCCTGCAGGTGGGCGTGATAAACAAAATAAGGACCTGCAATTTCATCTGAAGGACAAGAGAGTTTTTACATTCCTCAGTAAGTATCTTATACGATTCATCTTCTTGAAAATATGTATAAAGCTGTGACTTTATTTTTGTACTTTATTTCTCAATGTGTGCAGGAAGGGGGTGGAGAGAAACTTCCCTGAAAGTGTCCTGTATTTTTGGCACCTAATTTCATCTTCCTTATGTTTCTTCTTTCCAGATTGAGCAGCTGAGCTCATCAGAAACATCTACCAGGATCTGAGGGTGGGCACAAGGCAGCTTTGCCGCCAGTAAGAAAGAGAAGTCATGCTTCTTGTCCTTGTGGAGCTTCCACTGGACACATCTGCTGTTACGTATCAGACATTCAGGTGGAAAAAGACAAAAAATCATATAGATTGATTGTATATTGAATGTTTATGTGAGAAAACTAGTATTCTGGAAGAAAAGGCAGTCAAGCTCACAGATGTAGATCTGCCTCCAGCAACTTGCTCCTTCCCAGTGTAGCAAAGAGGGATTTTTTTTTCTTTCCAGTATTTGCTCTTTAATATATTTCAACTACCTGTTTTTAAAAAATTTTAAATATTCATTTATTTACTTGAAAGGCAGAGTTACAGAGACAGAGAGGGAGGAACACAACACAGAGATCTGCTGGTTCATTCCTCAAATGGCCACAATGGCTAGGGTTGGGCCAGGCAGAAGCCAGGAGCCAGGAGCTTCTTCCAGGTCTCCTATATGGATGCAGTGGCCCAAGCACTTGGGCCATTCTCCACTGCTTTTCCCACTCCATTAGCCGGGAGCTGCACTGGAAGTGGAGCAGCTGGGACACAAACTGGCATCCACATGGGAGTCCAGCTTTCCTGGCAGTGGCTTAAACCACTATGTTTGTCTTTTCTTTTCTTTCTTTTTTTATTTTGACAGGCAGAGTGGACAGTGAAAGAGAGAGAGACAGAGAGAAAGGTCTTCCTTTTCCGTTGGTTCACCCCCCAGTGGCCGCTGCAGCCGGCGTGCTGCAGCCAGCACACCACGCTGATCCGAAGGCAGGAGCCAGGTGCTTCTCCTGGTCTCCCATGCGGGTGCAGGGCCCAAGGACCTGGGCCATCCTCCACTGCACTCCAGGGCCACAGCAGAGAGCTGGACTAAACCACTATGTTTGTAACACTGGTCCATCAACTATCTTTGATATCTTTCACAAATCTACTTTTCTACCAGTATTATACAAGTTAATATTTTTTTTACAGGTAAAGCACAAAGAATTGAGGGCCTGTTTCTCATTTACACGGCAAGATAGATTTCATATGCCTTCATAATTTGAGTGAGAAATGACGAGGACAATAAAATGAGGAGAGGAGAAGGGGAACAGAACAGCACACAGCAGGCAATCTGCTCCTACTTGGCAGTCTCACCAGGCCCTGGAGTCCTGTCCATGAATTCGGCTGGACTTGGAGCCACCAGCCATTGCCAATGGAGAAGCAGTATCAGACTCCCTGGCACTCAATAGGGTAACAGTGGAATAATAACATTGCATTAAGTAAAGGCCCATAGCAGTTTTGTGGGGTTGCTATGGGAGTAATCTTCGGTAAAAATGTATTACATGGAGCTCATCTCTAATTAAATCATGTTCCTGTCTACTCAGCGCTGCAGATGAAACTCTTCCACATGTTATGTTTACTCAAAAACAAAATCTATACTTCTAAGTCTGTTACTTGAGTGACCATGAGGCCTTCCCAAATGGAGCTGGGACTTTTAGGTGGGGCAGAGAGAGATGGTATTTAGTATATAAAAGACACGCTGTTGTCATGGTTTTTCTGCAAACTCAAGCACAGTCTGTGTACTTAAGGAACAAAAATGTCAGATGTACTTTCGGTTTGAATTTCTGTCACTGAAAATTCTAAGCCACAATGTCCCTCTGCACCGGGGACAGGCTAACGCCAAAATGCTGATGTACGTGATGATGACGTCAGCAGCCTGTCCCCCTTCCCATCTGGCTTCCTGGATCACTTCACTGTGATCTGGTCAGGATGTCAGAACGCTTGATCTTTGGGAACAAAGCAGGAAGCATAAGAAAGACTCCTGGGGCAGCGCTGTGGTGTAGCAGGTTAAGTTACTGTCTATATAGGAGCCTATATAGGAGTCACATCCTATATAGGAGCCAGTTTGAGTCCCAGCTGCTCCACTTCAGATGCAGCTCCCAGTTAATGAGCCTGGGAAGGCAGCGGAAGATGCCCAAGTGTGTGAACCCCTGTACCCATATGGCAGACCCAGATGAAGTTCCTGGCACCTGACTTCAGCCTGGCTCAGCCCTGGTCATTATGGCTGTTTAGGGAGTGAATTAGCAGATCTCTCTCTTCTCTCCCCCCACCCCCCACTCTGTAATTCTGCCTTTCAAATAAATAAAGAAATCTAAAAAACAAACAAACAAACAAACAGAAAGAAACAGAAAGAGAAAGCTCCTACTTAAAACTGTAGTATCCAGACATCCTAGTGAATAGATAATTGAGTCTACTCACAGGCAACAAATGAAATATGCCAAATTCTAAAGGAGCTATTTCAGTAATGTCAATTAGTCTTCAAATTGGGAAAGCTGCTTCTGTACTTATGTAAAATATGCCATATTATGCTATTTGTTGCTTTGCAAAGTTTGTAACACATAGTTTTAACACCTCCAAGTCTATAAGCGGATACTGCAGCAGAAGCCATATTGAGCCTATCTAATCAAAATCGAATGCTATGTTCCTGGAGCTCACAGCACCACCATACTGGGCATCTGGAAAAGACATATGGGGACTTGGGCCTATGGAGAGATACTGAGAGAACCCAACCATCACCCTGAGCAGGAGGATGTTGGCATTTGGAGAAGGGGAGGAAGCAGAAGCAGGTAAACATGGACTGGAAAAGTGAGAATGCCAATGAGACACAGAGTAAATAACAAGTCTGGAAGTGAGGATCAGGCCTATTTCCTAGAGAATCTGCTCTTTACTCTGCATCCTGAGACGATGGAGATGGGCAGCTGGGGGAGCAGGTAAATCCACGACACTGAAGTCTCTAGGAAAGTACCCTGTTACTCTGACTGCCCCCTAATCTCCTTCCCCAGCTCTAACCCCTTCCAGTATTGCCCTCAGGTCATTTCCTTTTTCAACGGATATCATGCTCACAAAAAGCTAATTTCATCAACTCCCAGAAATTCAAATACCAACTTTACACCAGTGACTTTCCAAACATCTGCATCTGGCTCTGAACCCGATGCATAATGCCTTTTGTTGAGTTAAAAAGAATTAAGAAGGATAAAAAAGAACTAAAATGTCCAGCAACAAGGCATTGGTTAAATTAACTATGGTATGACAATTCAGTGGATTATTATTCAGCTGTAAAAGAAAAGACATCCAAGAATGAGGAGGCTTGTATCTGCTAACATGGCAGAAAAACTGCCAGGACTTTTCAGTGTGAGAGCAGTGTACAGAGTGTACAGAGCAGTGTGCAGATTATGCTGCCTGCCAGGCATAAAGGAGCAGTGGAGAGGTGTGCAAGAAACAAGCAGAAGTGTTCACCAGGATAGGTGGAGGGTAGGGGACTAGATAAGGTGTGAGAACGGAGCTTCTCAAGGCATACTCAGGTTGTTTAATTTTTCAATGATGTTGATATATTCAAAATAAATTGTAATAACATCAACAACAAAAGGCCAAGAGAAGTTAATTCAAAAGCCAAAACAAAACAGACTTAGGACTTCGAGGTTTCAAACTGATCAAACTAGGAAGATCATTCTGTATTCTTCTCCTCTGTACAGCTGCAATTGTCATCGGTTTAAGTGAGCATCTTACTTGTTAGCAACCAAGCGCATAACGGTCCAGTCCTTCGGGAACATCTCCGGGCGAATCAGTATTCGGAACACTGTGAATATCTGCAGCAGGAAGTCCTGCAGTCAGGAAGAAATAGGTCATTTTGCTGATTTATTACAACTGTAAATACATGCGCTAAATAAACGGAGTGCATAGCTGTAGCCATTTTCAAAGCATTACAGAGAAGAAGGGAACTTTATTTCATAGTTTATGCAGGGGGGCCAGTGCTGTAGCTCACTTGGTTAATTCTCCGCCTGCAGTGCCAGATCCCATATGGGCGCTGGGTTCTAGTCCCAGTTGCTCCTCTTCCAGTTGAGCTCTCTGCTGTGGCCCGGGAGTGCAGTGGAGGATGGCCCAAGTGCTTGGGTGCCCGCACCCACATGGGAGACCAGGAGAAGCACCTGGCTCCTGGCTTCGGATTGGCGCAGCTCCGGCCCTAGCGGCCATTTTGGGGGTGAACCAATGGAAGGAAGACCTTTCTCTCTGTCTCTCTCTCTCACTATCTAACTCTATCTGTCAAATGAAAAATAATAGTTTATGTAGGGGCCGGCATTTTGGTGCAGTGGGATAAGCAACTGCCTGTGATGCCGGCAGCCCATATGGGTGCCAGCTGGAGTGACTGCTGCTCCCCTTCGCAATCCAGCTTCTTGCTCATGTGCCTGGAACAGCAGTGGAAGATGGCCTAAGTGCTTCCACCTACATTGGGGACCTGGATACAGTTTGGTGCTCCTGGCTTTGGCTTGGCCCAGTCCTGGCCATTGCAGCTATTTGGGAAGTGGAGCAGCGGACGGAAAATCTCTGTGTGCCTCCCTTTATCTTGTGACTATCTTTAAAATGAATAAACAAATCTGAAAAAAAAAAATAGCTTACACAGGAGAAAGAATTATCATCCTTCTCATTCTTAGCATCTAAACGCCCTGGCTTGCTACCTTTCCCAAACATTCCATTTTCCTTTCTCAGGCACAGTGGAAATGATTTATAATTTCCATTTAGATTTTGGAAATAAAATAAAAAACTCATATCAGAAGCAGGCAAAAGTACTCCCTTTCACATATTAAATGTCCTAAACATCTGAATACTCTGTGAGATGTGTTAGAGAACAGTCTAACAATTCTGATTCAGTCTGCTTTCCTTAAAGTGAATGGTAAAATTGAAAAAGTAATGTTTATCAAAAAGCATGTTTCATACAAACCTATCTTTTTGAGAAGGTGTCTCAATGTAGTATTAATGGGATATGTACAAGTTTATAGCATCTAAGTGAATTTCACAGGGTTCAGTGCAGAATCAATTCCAAACAGGACGTGTGCTAAGTTGAGCTCATCAACAAGTGCACAGAAGCCCTAAGTGTCATGATACTACTCAAGCGATGCCAAGCACCAAGACACTGGTATTTACTGAGATGTCATTTTTAGATTGGTCACCTGGAAGCACTCTTGACAAGAGGCTATTATCAGACAAGGAAATCTCTTCTTTAAAAGAGATAGGGCCCAAAGTGCCACCATGCATGATACTTACCAAATATCAGGGTGGTGATGTGACAAATGTAATTAATGAAAAGGAGTTTTCCCTACTCAAAAAAAAGATTGGTTCAATCTAACTTTGATTTAGATTTAGTAACTAGAAAACTTGAAGACTCGGGCCGGCGCCGTGGCTCAATAGGCTAATCCTCCACCTTGCGGCGCCGGCACACCGGCTTCTAGTCCCGGTCGGGGCGCCGGATTCTGTCCGGGTTGCCCCTCTTCCAGGCCAGCTCTCTGCTATGGCCAGGGAGTGCAGTGGAGGATGGCCCAGGTGCTTGGGCCCTGCACCCCATGGGAGACCAGGAAAAGCACCTGGATCCTGGCTCCTGCCATCGGATCAGCGCGGTGCGCCGGCTGCAGCGGCGGCCATTGGAGGGTGAACCAACGGCAAAGGAAGACCTTTCTCTCTCTGTCTCTCTCTCTCACTGTCCACTCTGCCTGTCAAAAATAAAAAAAAAATTAAAAAAAAAGAAAACTTGAAGACTTTTTTAGTATTCCTAAATGACCCTAGGAAAATGCATTTCTCTAACAGTTTGAAGACAGCAGTATGGTGTTGCTTAAAAAATAAAAAGCAACTCAAAATATAAGAGTTTTATTTATCAAACCCAACAACACATTATGTTAAACATGTAAGCTGCTTGCATATATGATTCTGGTTGTCACTCATATCAATAGAAAATAGAAAGATAGACTCTAGAAACTGAGAACCATGTGGTAGGTTTTCTTTTCTTTTTTTACATGCTCTAACAGCTTCGATCAAGCCTGTAAATATTGTGACAAGAACTAATTTAGCGTCCTTGGCATCTACACATATGCACTGATACATAGTATGCGCCATGTGGAAACATGCCCACTCTGTTAAATGTCTTTAAATGGCCACACAGATCCTTCCTGTGTCTCTAGAGTCACAAACAATGGTTTCCCAAATGCGTCCCACTTCCAGTCAGAGGATTTTGGGGAATGTGGCACATTCAAGCTCTCCCTTGGAGTAGAAGATCATTAGCCTACCAAAACTGTGAGCCACCACTTTTAATGCATTTCTATAACTTCTTTTAATTGTTTTTTAGTTGATTTTTCTGAGTTTCTCAGGCACAAATACCTCTAATCCCTATAAAAAGTAGGTTTGTTTTTATATTCCCAAGAATTATAATCCACTTCAGTTTCCTATCTTATTGCATTTGCTGACAGATATTAAAGAAAAATCATGAAAGTGTGAACAAATTTGCCTTTCATTAGTTTGGAATAGTTTTAGTACAATCTTTTTTTTTTTTTTTTAAAGATTTATTTTATCTATTTGAAAGAGTTACAGAGAGAGGTAGAGACAGAGAGAGAGAGGTCTTCCATCTGCTGGTGCACTCCCCAGATGGCTGCAATGGCTGGAGCTGCACTGATCCAAAGCCAGGAGCCAGGAGCTTCTTCCAAGCCTCCCATGTGGATGCAGGGGCCCAAGGACTTGAGCCATCCTCTACTGCTTTCCCAGGCCATAGTAGAGAGCTGGATCAGAAGAGGAGCAGCCGGGACTAGAACCGGTGCCCATATGGGATGCCGGTGCTTCAGGCCAGGGCTTTAACCTGCTGCGCCCCAGTAAATTCTAAAATATTTGTTTCATCCTCTTGCCTCAAACCCTTAACAGAACTGGAAGTTGGAGGCAGCATCCCTGGAGGTGGTGTTGTTGTTGTGAGGTGTGTGTGTGTGTGTGTGTAGTTGGGCAGTGGGGTTATGATGTCAGCTGTACAGAGAAAAAATAGGCAGAAAGGATTGACTATGGGAGGCAAGACATTTATTTCACTGGCTAGCAACTTCAGCTGTTCTTGTGTAGTGCAGAAGACACTGTTTTAGGGCTGGGCTCTAAAGAAAAGTTATTCCAAGTGCAGGAGCTGGGAAGAGACAGCCTGCTTCTGTGCTATCTCATTTTCCTGTTGCCATTCAGCTCACAAATAAAAGGCTGTGGCAGCACATGATACTGTACTAATGTTATGGAACAACGTAAATCTTTGTGTCTATCAAGAAAACTGTCCAGTGTCTCAAGTAGCTTTCTTAGGCATCTACTCAAGCTTCTTCCACATTTATAGAACTAAACACACTGATTTATAGAAAATACATTTTAAACAAAGAACGATATATTGAGAATCAGAAATCCTAGCTCTGCAACTACTTGCAATTAACTAGGCTCAGTGACCTTGCCAATTTATTTAACCTTTCTGGAACTAATCTCTCACAATTAGAAAAATGGGGAGGGGGGCTTTATGATCTCTTATAGATAGAGGAAATAGAAAAAAAGAATATAATTATTTTTAGCTTCCTTATTTCTAAACTGTAGGATAATGTTTCATCAGATCATATTGTGATAACACTTTTCCTTTTGCTATTTATTGTAATTTATTTCAGCAAGTTCTTGTCCACTACCATGTGCCAGGCTCATTTCTTTTTTGTTTTTAGCTTTTATTTAATAAATACAAATTTCATAGGTATAGCTTTAGCAATATAGTGGTTCTTCCTCCCATACTTGTCCTCCCACCTCCACTCCCATCCCACCTCCTACTCCCTCTCCCACCCCATTCTTCATTAAGATTCATTTTTAATTATCTTTGTATACAGAAGACCAACTCTATACTAAGTAAAGATTTCAACAGTTTGCACCCACACAGACACACATAAAGTACTGTTTGAAGACTAGTTTTGTTAATTCTCATAATAAAACTCATTAAGGACAGAGGTCCTACATAGAGAGTAAGTGCACAGTGACTCCTGCTGCTGATTTAACAATTGATACTCATTTATGACGTCAGTGATCACCCAAGGCTCTTGACATGGGCTCAGGTATCATATCTAACTAAGTTCTAATATTAAAATACACTAAGTTCTGAATACTAGATTCTTTATCATCTCTTTTCTTCCTACCCCAAATATCAGGGTATTTCCTTGTCTGGCCTCTCTCAGTACTTTGGGTCATTTCATTGCATACATGGTTTTATAGTTATGATTATTTTACACAGATGAGTATAGCCAAGTAACAGATTCCTTTTGTAATTTAAAAAAGAACACTACTATGCCTATAATATTCCTGTTTGGATGGCACACAGAAATAATTATTTCACATGCCATCATTTCAAAATTGGCAGACTGGGAGAGTTTATTTTTCCTTGTGTTTTCTTCATTTAGCACAACATGGTAACTAGTATTATTGGTATTCTTCAAATCAGAGTTCAAAGAAACAGGGAAGGGTTACTTTATAAAAATAGATTTTTGGGGGCTGGCACTGTGGCTTAGTGGGTAAAGCTGCCTACTGCAGTGCTGGCATCCCATATGGGTGCTGGTTTAAGTCTTGGCTGCTCCACTTCCAATCCAGCTCCCTGCTAATGAGTATGGGAAAGCAGCAGAACATGGTCCAAGTCTCTCTGTGGGAGACCTGAAAGAAACTCCTAGTTCCTGGCTTCAGATTGGCCTGGCTCCAGATTCTGCGGCCAACTGGGTAGTGACCCAGTGGATAGAAGATCTCTCTCTCTCTCTGCCTCTGCCTCCCTGTAACTCTGCCTTTCCAATAAAGAAATCTTAAA